TTACAATTTTAGATTTTATTATGTTAATAAACAAAGAATTGGTATTCATAATAAAAAAAAAAAGCAAACTCAGCCTTTGAATGCAGCCTGTGTCATGATCATTGATCATGCTTTAACCACATAACTTATCTTTCATTCTTCATTCTTGTATTGGGTGGTATCTTTGAAATAGCTTCTGTTTCCTTTAATGGGTTCTATCTTTCCCTTCTTCTTGTATTCATTATTACCATATTCTACTGGGAAATCAGAAAGTCAGGAGATGGCTTAGGTTTTTAAAAGATTTAAATATAACAACTCAATAAGGCAGAATCCAGATATTATGTATGCAAAAGGGTATTTCCAATGTCCTTACTAATTAAGACAGCCATTAAAACAGAGTTTAATTGATTGGGCTGATTTTTATGATATGCTGTACACAAGTGAATCTGAAATGCCGTGTCCTACTAGCATTAACAGATTTAAAGAAAGCTAGTATCTATACCTAAATAATTGCACACAAATTATTGTATTCTGGTCAACCAGAAGGATAAGAATTCTAGAAAAAAATGTATCACTCAATAAGTAACAACTACGCTATAATTAGTATCGTTATTACTGTCATCTCTTATTTATAGAGTGCTTCTTATGTGCGGGCACTGTACTACACACTTTGCATGATTACTTATAGAAACATTACAATGTTAACCCTAAAAAAAGACATGAAAAAAATAGGAAGGAGCTGAATAGTGGCCTAAGAGAAGGATTAATTTGTTGGAAAAAGATGATCATGAATTTTTAATTGGTTATATTAGGTAAAACCAAGAATGGATGGCACAAGGAAACCAAGATTGGCTCAACATCCATCTACAAGAACCAAGCAGCAAACATCCCTTGACTATACAAAACACATTTATCACTAAAGGTACTCAGCAACAGGCTCTGTGTCCAGCTTTCGCAGATGCTGTAGAAAGGGATTCCGACAATGGATGAAAGTACTGGAAGAGCTCTGAAGAGTAGTAAGAGCTAGTACTTGAATTTTGGTAAAAAGGAATATTGTGAACATTACAAGTATAGCTTTACAAATGAATGAATTAATAAGTGAATGAACAATTTTATAGAATTATACTCATGTCTCTCTTATAGTACTTATTTTATTTTATCTTGTGTGAAATGTTTGTGTCCTTTTATTTATTTATTTTTGACAGATTTTTAATTGAGATAATTTATTATATATATTTGTAGGGTACAGATCGAATATCAGTACATATGTACAATATGTGGTGATCAAATCAGGATAATCAGTATATTTATGTTTACAAAATATAATCAGTTCTCATGACCCTCAACCAGCCTCTCGCCAACCCCCCTCCCAATTCTCACCTCTAATGACCACACAGTTCTGTTCTCTTCTTTTTTGAAAGTTCACTGTATTATTGTGATTGTTTCTTTCTCTCCCTCTTTTTCTCTTTCTTACTTTCCCTCTTTTCTTTCTTTCTTTATTTTAGCTCCTACTTATGAGTGAAGACATGTGGTATTTCTTTTTCTTTGCCTGGCTTATTTCACTTAATATACTTTTCTCTAAGTTCATCCATGTTGCTGCAAATGGCAGAATTTCATTTTTTTTTTATGGCAGAGTAGTATTCCATTGTGTAAACATTTAGGTTGTTTCCTGCAATTGGCTATAGTAAATAGAGCCACAATAAATATGGCAGTGCAGGTGTCCCTTTGACATGATGATTTCCACTCCTTTGGGTATATACCCAGCAGTAGGATTGCTGAGTCATATGGCAGTTCTATCTGTAGTTGTTTAAGGAAACTCCATACCATTTTCCATAATGACTGCACTAATTTACAGTCCCAACAACAGTGCAGGAGGATTCCCCTTTCTCTACATCCTTAGCAGCATTTTCATTCCTATTAGATTGTAAATTCATAGAATCCTGAATCATCACATATTATTAATCTTGGAAAAATTATCATCTTCCTTTTCTCTAATAATGGAACCTGTCATACAAGGTGGTCATGAGAAATTAAATTAGAGTGTATATGTCAAGGATTTAGCCCAGTGTCTGGCACAAGCAAGCAACAAATAAAATTAACTATAGCTCTCAAAAATTATTGTTGTTACTATTATTTTTACTACCATCATTATTAAGACTATTACTAAATTTCAGATAAATGTCTCATGCTCAGCATCTTTGACTTTAGAGTCTAATAAACACCAATCAATAGCCATATTTACACTCCAATTGAACAATCAAAGCAGCAAAATTTTACCTGCTAGGCTGCCAATCTAAATTGTCTTGGGGGGAAGGAAACAAGCCTAAACCACCCAAGCATTCATCAAAGAAGCAATTCAATAAAATGTTTTCAATATGCTCCTCTTTTAACTAAAAAGAGAATATGAAATGAGGAAAAAAGAAAAAGAATTGTTTTTATTTCACTCTGGAAAAAAAAATATTCTCTGAAGTTCCTCATGGCATGCATGACAAATGAACATACATATCCCTTTTTCTGTAACAAAGGTACTGTCACATGCCTTTGCAATTAATAAGCTTTGTTGCCAATATTCCTATGAAATCAATGTCAAATTCATTTGAATGTGGCTTCTGGAATAGCAGGACCTCTTGACCATTTCTTGTAAGGTAGTATATTGACAGCAAGATGGACTTTATTATGTGTTCACATTCATTTGAAAAAGACAAATTTCTACACTAATCTACACTAAAATTTTTCAAACAATGTTTGCAATGGAGCTCTTCTTTTTAAAGAACATCTTGGGCCCAACATATGCTAAGGCACTTTAAATATCTATCATTGGCTAAGAAAACACTGGAAGTATCTTTGTAGAATCTGAAAAGTAGTTAGAAAACTGTCCTGAAAACCCAAACACTTACATTATTGATGAAAAAGCTGAGTCTCCAAAAGGAGAAGTGATTTAACCTTGTCTCACTAGTTAGTGGCAAAAGTTAGAATTAGAATTCCTGACCGGATCACTCATTCAGCTGATATTTAGTGAGAGCCCTCCATGTGCTCATTCTGTACTTAGGTTTCCTATGTATACCATCTTTATTATTATTTTCAAATGTATTCAATTTCCATTTGACAAATATTTGTTTAATATCTACTAAGTGCAGGCAGTATATTTAATACATTATGCTGAAATGTTTAAGAAGGAAGGAGAGAGTTAGCTATAGTAATTGGTAGAATGTAGTTAATACCATAGGAAAGCAAGAGAATTAGACAAGTTAATTTAATCATTTACTAGCCATACATAGAATATTTCTCTCTTTTAACCAATCATCCAATTTGCACCCATCATGTAGCATGGGCAAAGAACTGAGAATGGGATTCGAAAAAGTTAAGAGCAGCTAGACATTACAATCGGTTTAATAAAAAAGATGCAAAAGTAAGAAATTTGTTTTAGAAAGTCAGGACAATATCAAAGTGCTAAGTATAATGCAGCAATGTACATGTTAGAGAGATTCTCAAAAAGAGAGAGAGCTCATTGTGGGCTGACATTAAGCAACAGAATGGGCTTTGAGGAAGAGGCAGAATTTGACCTTGAAGTATTTACTATTATCATTTAAACTATACCGGAGACATCAGCATATTCCACTGTAAGTGTATTGGAATAATTGTATAAACAGACTTTTTCCAATTAATAGCTCACGAACAATGAGGACAAATTTCAATAGGCCCCTAAAGATCATTCAGCAGTTGAGCAATTCATTCTTCAGCTACTTTGTGTGCGACCTTTGTTGTGACTACTCTGATTTTTCATCCATTAACCCAGAAA